GAGAGCAAGGGACGCGAGATGCGGATGAGACGCTGATACCCTTGCAGGAGGAAGAGGAGGGGGACGAAGAGTGGGCGGCTGATCTGGACGAGGGGAAAGACGAGGAGGAGGAGGACTTGGCGACGGATAGCAACCATAGTCTGAGCGGCAGCGTGGCGAGTCTGGGAATTGTAGAGTAGCCGCGCGTCTTTGTAGCCCCTGCTCGTCGTGCTACTCGTCGTGCTACTCATCGTGCTACTCGTCGTGCTCCTCTCGCGGCCAATGCAGCAATCGCAGCGTTTCTGTAGGGCCGCTATCATGTTTGAAGCCTGTCCACCTGAGCTCCACCTCTTCGAACACCTGCACCACCTTGTGCTCCTCGAAACCCAACTTGGCAAACAAAGCTCTGCTCTTGGTGTTGCTCAGACCTATTTTGGCTCTGAATGCGTTGGGTGCGAGGGGCAAGAGGGATGAGCTGTTGGAAGCGGAGGCGAAGGAGGTGGTGGTGGTTGTGGTGGTGGTGGCGTAGCGCAGCAAGAGGCAGAGCGACTCGAAGGCCAAGCCTTGTCGTCTGGCTCGAGGTTCTGAAAGAAGGCAGCGCGCGGGTGGGCGGGGCGGTGCTTGCGAGTCAGCGCGACGAGGGGGGGGAATAAGCGCATGCCGTTGCTGCCGTTGCTGCTGCTGCCTCTCACCCGCTATCATGATTTCCACTTCTGCCAAGCATGCCTCTCCCGCACCCTCGTCGTCGTCTAGCGAAAGGAAGAGATTGACATCTCCCACCATCTCAGCTTCCTGCAGCGCCTCTCGCGCCGAAGAGATGGCCGTGTCAGCTCGTCGCCTCAGCACGATGAATGTCAATTCTGCGTGCGTGCGCGCGGCAGCGATCATGTCAGTGGAGGAAGGGGAAGGGGAGGGGGGACCGCACGTGTGGAGCAAAAGAGTGGGGAAGCGAGCGGTTTGGCGCTCACTGTCATGGTCCAAGTGCCAGGAACGCTGCATGGCATACTCTTCCTCCAAACTCAAAGCTTCCGACGCTGTTTGCTCGCGCAGCTCTTCATCCTGCATCCACTCGTGATACTACTGATGATGCGGTGGGGTGCGGTGGGGTGCGGTGGGGTGCGGTGCAGCGCAATCGATCAGCAGCAGCAGCAGCAGCAGCAGCGCGCGAGAGAGAAAGAGAGAGAGAGAGAAGCAATGAAGGGATTGGGAACTCGCGAGACTCGCCTTGGGCACGTGCTCCTTTCTGTACGGCACCAGTAGCACTCTGTCGCCCACTATGATGGTGCTCTCGTTGAGTCGCATGGTGATGCGAGCGCTGCAAGGGGAAGGCGGGTGGGGGTGTTGGTGTGGCGGAGGTTAGGGATGGGAGATGCTGCTTGCGTGGATGCTGGATGCTGGATGCTGGATGCTGGATGCTGCGTGCGTGCGTGCGTGGATGCTGCTGGGTGCGAAGGGGCAGCGCGCACGCGCGCGCGACTCGCTCGTGTGCATGTATGCCATGCCACAGTCACGAGTACCTTACTGTATACACGCACGCGAGCGCGCGCCAGCCATCGCCACCACTCGACTGCCGCGGCTCATCTTTGCTTCAAACATCGTGGGCTGACGCGCGCGCACGTGACCGCAAAACGCGTAATGTACATGTACATGTACCCCTACTCGACGCGGCCCCGCGTGTAAGATTCACGAATTCACGATGGTCACCCACACTCGTGTCAAGACCACCATGAGCTCGGGCTGCGGGCGGTGTGTGTAGAACGGCGGTCATCTTCAGCTCCACGTCACGCACGGCTGCCCAATTTCAGCCTCTCGCCTGCCCCCGCCTTCGCGATAGAGCCGACACAGGAGCAGGGCACGGGCCACGGCAACGATGAGCAGGTCGAGTCGCACGCTGACGGCCGCCGTGGGGTTGCTTGTATGCTGTGGTTGCTGTCTAGGCACGGCCTACGCCTCCACCTCATCACCACATTCGCACACACACCACACCACCACGACGCTGAATCCCCTCGCAGCGCTATTGGACGGCATGCGTCAAGTGCTGGTAGCCTCGCTTCACCTCACAGCCGCCACTGTCCGCTTCGCATCCGTCACCCTTCCCAGCGCCATCTACAGCGTGCTGCACTACAGTCTCACGCTTCAGCTCAACTTTCCAAGTCTCGCTCTGCTCTTTCTCGCTTGTCTTGTCGCCGCATTCGTCTGGCTGAGGTATAGACATCTCAATAGGTACGAGAGGTTGAGAGAAGTGCCGCTCGCAAAGGATGAAGGTTTCAACCTTCACCCGGACGTGGGAGCCAATGACGATGATGATGGTAGGGGAAATGGATTCAGCAATTATCTCGACGAGTTCTTGCAAGCCATTCGCATATTTGGGTTCCTCGAAAAGCCAGTGAGTGGGAGGAGGAGGAGGAGGAGGGGGGGGGAGCGCGAGCGTGGAATTTGCGCGCAGAAACGGTCCCTCTCTCTGAGCGCGCGCCACTTTCGCCCAGGTGTTTCACGAGTTGGCGCGCCATCTCCAAACTCGCAGACTCATCGCCGGCGATACGCTCTCCCTCGACTCGGACTTTTCCTTTTACATTGTCATCGACGGCAGGGTGCAAGTGTATGCGCCCACTCCCCCCGCCCGCGAGTCTCGCAGAGCAGCAAACGGATGGTCGGAGGATGAGGATGAGGATGAAGGCAATGGGTATCATCTGCTCAACGAGGTCACCAATGGAGGCACCCTCAGCTCCCTCTTTACCATTCTCAGCTTGTTCACAGAGGATGTCGAGGTGGGACTGGGCACGGGCGAAGGGGAGGACGTAAATGTTGCTGGCACGCAGCGCACCAGTGGCGCACCCGGCTCCTACGCTTCCAGCGTGCATTCCACGGGTCATGCGACGGATAGTCCGAGGAGGCGCACCAATGCGCATCGATCTCACCCGTCAGACGAAGCTGCACCGCCCTTGCGACCGAGTGGCGACCAACTGCAGCTCAACGCTGCAGCGCTGCGCAACGTGCCGTCTGCCATGAGCTCGTCTGTGGCCGTGGAGCGTCTAGACGGCATCGATGCGCTTCGCGCTAGTCCAAGGCAGAGGCGAGGAAAGACTAGCAGCGGGACGGATGATGCTACCGTGGTGCAAGGAGACGAAGACGAAGAGACGAGCACGGTTCATGATGATGTGCCGGGTGGACAGGATCTGCTACCTCCTGCTCAGGCCTCTGCTCCCTTTCCACATTTTGCTCGAGCGCAGGCTAGAGCAAGCGTCGCTTCCAGCTTCTCGCCACCACTATTAGCAGACCGAGGTCGAGCGCACTCTACGGCTACCAATTCCACCTTTGCTGAAGCGAGCAACGGTCCTCACACGCCTGGAAGCATTCTGAGCGGCTTCGAATCAAAAGGCGCAAAGCCGAGCCATTACATGCACCACGAAGGCGTGGGAACAGTGGCTAGGGCGGTGACGGATACTACTTTGGCAGTCATACCTGCCGACGCGTTCAAGCGACTGACCAAAAAGTATCCCAACGCAGCAGCTCACATTGTTCAGGGTGAGCGCGAGCAAGCTTCTTGCGTGTGCAGAATGGGGCACGTCCACTGACGCGCGCGCGCGGGCTCGCCATACACAGTCATTCTCACGCGCCTCTCGCGAGTTACGTTCCACACGGCTCACAAGTATCTGGGCTTGACAAGGGAAGTGATGAGGACGGAGAAACACATCAATGAGCTCGCGTGTTTTACGCTGCCTGCCGCCTTTTACGAGCAAGGAGGCATGGAGCGTCTTCGACAGCGCTTCCTACCCGAGCCTCAAAAGCACGATGCGCAGGCGAGGATGCCGAGTGGCGGCGAGTCTGCAACGCCACCTGGCGATGATTTACATGACGAGGGGGGAGATTACTTTCGCGGCTCGGCTTGGAGGCGCGGAGCGAGCGAAAGCACGGAAAAGGCCAAGACGCCAAAGAGGAACACTGTGGCGAGGGTCGATCCTGCTCGCACGCCCTGGGGACATCCCGATCCGCCTCTGCGCACGCCCACCAGTCGAACCAGCGTCGGACCTGGCGATCTACTGAGCATGACAGGTACCGAGGATGGCGCGGGGCCAGGCGGAGGAGGCGGAGGAGGAGGAGGAGGAGGAGGAACAATTGGCGGAAGACCTGGCAGTCCTCGATCCTACCTCGTCTCGACGAGTGCGCGCCCTCGAGCAGCTTCGCGCGGCACGGCCATCAAAGGCTCAGATGCGACTACGTTGGATATGCTCTCTTTGAGCTCCTTGTCGGATGCGCGCCTTGCGAGTCCCGTGGGTGCAGAGAGTGCCGGAAGCGACTCGGGCTCCTTTGCCGGCGGTTTCGGGCCTGGCGCGCTGGCGGATTTCAATTTGAAGGATGCAGTGATGGGATGCATTGCTAGGTCGATTGGACTCATGCAGCAACAGAGTCCCGGCACGGAAAGTCCAGGTCAATCGCTCTCTGCTAGTCCATTTATCAATCCGGCAGACACGCTTCAGAGGAGCGTCTTCAGGAGCGCCTTTAGCAGTCTGAGCATGCTCGATGCGGCCATGGCGTATGATGAGGAGAGCAGCGTGACGGGCGCGAGCAGCAGCGCTTTGGGTCCTCATCACGTCGAGCTGGAGAATGAGGTGGAGGTGAGGTTCTTTCCAGCTGGGAGCGTGCTCGCTAGTGCTGGAGATGCCGCTGCTGGATTGTTCTACGTCATCGATGGTTTTCTCGATGTCGTGGTGCCGCCGGACGACGCGGACACGCAAGCTGTGCAGGACAACAAGCAGCAAGGTCCCGAGCCCAAGCTCCCGGGAAGAGCAGCGCCTTTGAATGGGCATGGGCACAGGAGCGCCGCCACGTCTGCGTCTAGGGCGGCACCAGCACCCTCGCGCTCGGGAGATGCTGGACGAGGAGCACCTACGCAGTCCGATCGCATTGGAAACGCGCTGGACGGAACGGCATCCGGTGCACGTGCACGTGCGCGCGCTCGATCAGCGCAGCAGCAGGGGCAGCAGCAGCAGCCGCAGCAGCAGCAGACGGATCACGTACGTTTGCCTGAAGACAAACCAAAGGATCAGCGGGCCATCTTTAGCGTGGGAAGAGGAGGCATTGCGGGCTACCTTTCGAGCTTGCTGGGTGCGCCAAGCTACGTGGATATACGTGCCAAGACGGACACATATGTGGGCGTGCTTCCTGCCAAGGCGCTTGGTAGGGTCATGGAGCGTCGACCCATCGTGCTGCTCACTCTATGCAAGCGGCTCTTGAGCTTGTTGAGTCCGCTAAGTGAGTCGCGCGCGCCGCTCGCGCTCGCGCTCGCTCGACGACATTCCCGCACGCGTGTTTTTTTGACATTTGCGCGTCACTTTTCCCCCCTCGCACGCGCTCCCACACAGTCTTGCAGATCGACTCGGCACTAGAATGGGAGTCTGTCAATGCGGGTCAGGTGATTTACCGCGAGGGCGAAGCGTCAGACTCTTTTTACGTCGTCATCAATGGTCGATTGAGAGCCATTACGGAGCGGGGCGGTGGAGCGGGAGTGGACTCGATCAGCGAGTATGGTCAGGGAGATAGCGTGGGAGAGTTAGATGTCGTGACGCGGTCTGTGCGACGCAAGACGTTGCACGCGATTCGAGACTCCGAGCTGGCAAGAATGCCGATGGTGAGTGGGTTCGTCGTGATGCGTGCGTTCGTTCGTGCGCGCGTGCGCTGCATAGCAGCTGACCTTTTTGCACCTGCAAGACGCTTTTCAATGCCATCTCGATGAGACATCCGACGATTACGATTCAAATGTCTCGCATCATTGCGCGTCGTGTGCGCGAAGAGCTGAATTCGAGTCAACGAGAACGCGGCCGACGAGGCGCTGTGCAGACGGCCCCGCCCGTTCCCGGCTTGCCCGACTTGGGACGCAACAATCTCAACCTCAAGACGGTCGCCATCGTTCCCGTCACGCGCGAAGTGCCCATCACCAACTTTGCCAATCGACTTCAGGCCGCCTTTGAAGATACGATTGGAGGTCCTACGGCGTTTTTGAATCAGAGCAGCGTGATGGGCGTGCTGGGTCGACACGCGTTCAACCGCATGGGCAAGCTGAAATTGGCCGGTTGGCTGGCCGAGCAGGAACAGCGGTACAGGCTGGTGCTGTACGTCGTCGATACGGCCGTCAGCTCTCCCTGGGCTCAGACCAGCATCAGGCAGGCAGACTGCGTGCTCCTCGTCGGATTTGGAGACGATCCTACCATGGGAGAGTACGAGAGGCTTTTGCTGGGCATCAAGACGACGGCGAGAAAGGAGCTGGTGCTGTTGCATCCCGAGAGGAGCGTCCCGCCAGGCGCTACGCGAGCGTGGCTCAAGGTGAGTGGAGCGCGCGCGCGCGTGAGTGTGTGTGCGTGCGTGTGTGCACGCGCCAACGTTTTCACGACCCACCACAGTCTCGACCGTGGATTCATGCGCATCATCACGTCGAGCTGCCAGGCATTACGCGCTCCGCCGGCGGCTCGACTGCTAGTGGCGCCGCGAGCGATCCGCGAGCTGTCAAGGCGCTGCGCACGCTCAAGGCGAAACTCGAGACGAGCCTGCATCGGTACAGCGGCAAATCTCGCGGCGCTATTCCAGGTCGTCCTCATCACTTTTCCGACTTTGCGCGGCTAGCGCGAAGATTGTGCGGCAAGAGCATAGGTTTAGTTCTGGGCGGAGGAGGTGCGCGGGGGTGCGCTCATGTAGGTTTTCTGAGGGCGCTGGAAGAGAGGGGCATTCCCATCGACATGGTCGGCGGCACCAGCATAGGCAGCCTCGTGGGCGGTCTGTACGCCAAGGAAGCCGAAATGGTCACCACGTTTGGCCGTGTCAAAAAGTTTGCTGGCAGAATGGCTAGCTTGTGGCGCTTCGCTAGCGACTTGACGTATCCCGTCGTCAGCTACACTACGGGGCACGAGTTCAATCGCGGAGTCTTTAGTGAGTGTGTGTGCGTGCGCGTAGAGAATCGCACGAGCTGACTGACGCACGCACGCACGCACGCACGCACGCGCGCGCACCACAGAGGCGCTCTCTGACACGCACATCGAAGACATGTGGCTGCCCTTCTTTTGCAACACCACCAACATCACTTGGAGCAGGATGGAGGTGCACACGACGGGATACGCTTGGAGGTATATTCGAGGAAGCATGACTTTGGCAGGTCTCATTCCGCCGCTGGTAGACGATGGACATATGCTCGTCGATGGTGGATACATGGACAATCTACCCGTCAGCGTCATGATGGCCATGGGAGCGCACGATGTGTTTGCCGTCGACGTTGGAAGCATTGTGAGTGACCCATCGGGCTGCGAGTGCGGCGTGCACGCGGGCGGGCGAGCGAGCGATTGCACGACTTGACGCCCATGCGCGCGCGCGCGCGCGCGTGCGCGTGACAGGACGACACTTCGCCGCGCAGTTATGGCGACACGCTTTCGGGCTGGTGGGTGCTGCTCAACAAGTGGAACCCGTGGAGCGATGCGCGAAATATTCCCAGCATTACGGATATTCGTGAGTTGTGGTGTGTTGGCGAGATGCGATGATCGCGCTGAATGGAGCTCTACGTGTCGAGCAGAGGGACGATTGACTTAGTGAGTGCAGCGTTCGCTAAAGTGTGCTTGCGGTGGCGCGAACCGAGTATGCTCACGCCAACGCCCCGACAGCGTTTCTTCGGTCAAGACGCTGGACGAGGCAAAGAGCACGCCGGGTTGCTTCTACCTTCGCATGCCTGTGGAAGGTTTCGGAACGGTGAGTGGCGGTGGCGGTGGCGGTCGCGACAACCGCGGCTGACACGTACGCGCTCTCTCTGCGCGTCCAGATGGAATTCGGTCGAGTGAGTAGTCGCGAATTGATTACGCTTGGTGCGGACTTGCTAACGCGCGCGCCCGCATTGCAGTTCAACGAGGTGCAGCAAATCGGATACGAGGCTAGCAGAGCAGCATTGGCCGGCTGGGCAAAGGAGGGATCTCTTCCCACCGGCATGTCACTGGAAGCCGAAGCTGCCGACAATCACAATCGCAAGCGAGGCGTCGGCGCGCGAAGAAATTCCGTTTGAATGCGCGAAGGAGGGGGGCGGGTGTAATGAAAGATGACATTGGAAGTTGTGCGTCTATCGCGCTGCCTCTCTGGCCGAGTGCGATTCTTGAAGCGCTCGCGCGACTGTGAAATGTAGCGACTCGTTCGTCTTTGTGAGGATGGCGATGGCCTGTGAATGTGTGCGTGTGCGGGCGTCTCAGCGATGCACCATCTCGGGCGCACAGGCGCAGTCTCGCACTCTCGCACGCCCGCAAGCTCTCGCTCACCTTGTCCACCTCTTCCAAGCTGGCCCCTTGACCTCCTCCCAAAGCGCTAATCTCCATGGCCGTCACGCTTCCCAGACTCGGCATGGTGCTAAGCGTCACGATGGCTTTGGATTGTCGAGGTGAACACTCGTCACCATGCGGGTGCACCTCGATTGGCACGTCTGGATTGCGAGGAATGGACTGGGCGGGGAGGAAGGGGGGGTCGAACCTGTAAGATATGGTATCGCGCGACACTTTTCCAAACACAGACATTCGTGGACCCCGCGACGCGCGACGCGCGACGCGCGACTCGCGACTCGCGACTCGCAACTCACTGCGCAACAGCCCACGACCAATGCCCACATTTCGATGCCCGCATGCGCTATGGCTGCGCTGGCTGCTATGCTAGCCCAGGGTAGACAGAGCGCATCGTCCCACCTCTCACCTCCTCCTCCTTCTCCTTCTGCCGCTGGACTCTGGATGATGGTGACGTGCACATCGATCGTCGCTTTGGGAAGCAACTCTATGCGAATGCTAGGCAGAAGCGCAGACTGCAACGCTGAGCTCAATGCTGCTGCTTCCACATCCTTTCCCGGCTTTCGGCGACGATGATGACTTGATGATGCCGAAGCAGCAGCAGCAGCAGCAGCAGGAGGCGAGGCGCACGCAAAGGGTGCGTAACGAGCCTCTACGTTCAGCTCGGCTTTGGCACTGTAAGCGCGACCTTTGGATTGCCTGGGTCCGTACACTGCGCATACAAGCCTCAAACAGTCCGCCTCCACGTAGCTCGATCCCGATGCTTGCGGTGAGGTGCCCAAGGCGATGTAGAATGGCTGCGGTGGTGGTGCGCGTGCGCGTGCGCGCGCGACAGCGGGTGCCGTCAAGGTTGATGCGCCGCCGCTCGATGCGCCGGGCAGAGAGTGGAAATGAGAGAAAGAGACGTAGCGTGGAGCGTAGGTCTCTGGTCCATTGGCACGCCTACGATCGAGGGATGCGGCCATGCTGCGGGATGGGTGATGGGTGATGGGGGGAGCGACAAGGCGTGAGGCAGGTTGTGCTGCGATGGTGGGTGGGGGGCAGGAACCAAATGGGAGCGAGCGCCCGCGCGCTACACAAACTCATGATCAAGATTCGTGATTCACGATTCACGATTTCACATTTTGCCGCGAAATTGGGCAAAGTTCTTGCATGCAAATTATGCACGTGATGCGCGCGCGCGCGCGCGGGGCACCTACTGTATGCAGACTCGTGACCCTCACCTCCCCCCACCAACGACTTGACTCTGGCAGAACATTTATGGTTCACGGTTCACGATTCACAAATTCAGCGCTGACGATGGGCGATGGTGAGTGAGCATGACAGCACATCTCTTGGTAGCCGTCAAGCCCTGCGAATGAGGCGCTGCGCTGCGCGCGTCTCGGGACTCAGCACGCAGCATTCATCTTTTCGATTTGCGAGCACGGTGCTGGCTGATGGTGGGGCGCAATTAAGGTATGATCGACGCGCACAGAATCCGGACATTATTCGTTCTGATTTGGATTCACATTCACTCATTCACATTGGCTTATTCCAGCGCCAAATCTGTCCAACCGGAATGCCGCTTTTGGAGTTGTCAGGCGCGCGTGTCGTTCAAATCCAAACCTCGCGTCAGGCACACTCACGACTGCGGCTCTGCGCGCGCGCGCGCGCGATATAGACAGATGGACCACTTTGTGTTGCATGGTCATGTGCACTCACACTCACTCGATGCGCTTCATTTGGCTCTGACTGTCGCGTCGCACAGATCGCATACATTCGCTCCGCCGTCTTAGATGCCAACGGGCGGACCTGCGCATGGCGCATGTATTGCGCTCCCTCACGACTTGCGCGCCCATTCTGACGGGTGTCTGCGCCCCGTGATGGTGATTGCGTGTCTGCTTACCATCAGTGGCGCGCGCCTGTATTTATGGCGTCCATTTGTCATTAACAGCAACAAATGGATAAGCACCGAGCGCGGATCAGCGTGCCCATGACGGACGTGGCAAGAGACCACTCAGTGCACTCACACTTGCACCGCGCTCCATCGACCTTAAATAGCACAGCGCTCTCATCCCCGTCCACATGCGCGCGCGCGCGCACGCATCCCCATTGCTCTCTCATCCAAGCGCACTCTACGGTCAAACAATGATTGCGAATTGCAAGCTCGCTGCTCTCATCGCTCTGCTGTCCTGCTTTGCAGCTACGCAGCAGGTGAATGCTCAATTGCAACGAAAGGGCCTCAACGGCGAGCTTCCGCAGTGCCCGCCTGCCGGATATCAAGGCTTCAGAAGTGAGCATCAAGACTGCCGCGCAGAGAAAATGCTCGAGCGACTACTCGCATGCTGCTTGCTGACTCCGATTCTTGTGCCCCCCGCGCTCGATAGGTATACGCCAAGCACCTAGCAATGTGGACATGTTCGACTCTGATGCGACGCTTGTGCAGACTTGCTACGATGTAGGCGGTGTCAAGGCACCGCACGATTTGGGCGATAAGGATGCGCAACCCATCGAGTATCCTACCTACCAGTGCCTAGGCAAGTGCGTGCCTTTGCAGCTTCTGGCCGGCCGGGAGAGGGGCAGGGGGCGAATTCGAGTCTCTTGGCTCACTGTAGCTCATTCCTACACACTGCAGGGACAATCAAGATCTGACCTGTCAGGCGTACGCTGCCCTGAACGCTCCGGTGCCGAACGGCCAAGCGATTTGGTTTATGATCTCTTTGGAAAAGCCACAGCAGGATGACGGCACCACTAGATCCAGCCTTGACGCGATCTTCTGAGGGGCGCTCTCCACTCCAAAATGTCTCGTTTGCGGACGCGATGCGACGGTGCAGGTATACTGTATGCTTCGAGCACCGCACCGCATCGCACCGCACCGCACCGCTTGTTCTGCCTGCAGCAAGTCTATTCCACGCTCTGCAGTCATCCTATGGTAGTCAAGAAGATCAAGGTGTCTATCTGCATGCGATCGAGGTGTTTGTAGGTGCCTGTACGCGTGCATGCAGCACACGTGACAGGTCATGTTCGTTCATCGCAAATGACATGCGCTCACGCGAGATCAGTCGTGAGTCTTGCTCGTCTGTCCCAGTCGGACTACCATTGTACGTGTCAATAATGCGTCCTCATCTTGCCGCGTGATCATGACGTCGTGAGTGTCCAGTCCGTGAATCTTGGAGGCACAACAGCGTCTCGTGCACGCGGGTTCTCGCGGAGCCAAAGGTTTGCCCGCGATTGCGAACTAGTCATGTCGCTCCTGCGTCTGCGTTTGCGTCTGCGTCTGCGTCCCCGCTCCTTGACCATGATGACCCTTCCGCAATGACTCGAGCTAATCTTTGTGACATTCACCACACGCGCCACCACTCCACGCCACCATGCCATCCTGCAGCGTGCACGTACGCTGGCGTCCATCATCCGACGGCCCGTGCCTAAGCCACCGCAGCGCAAAGGATGAAGCATCCGGCTCGCGCTACAATCTCAATGTCAGCGGAACGCTAGCCAATGGACGCCAACTGGAATGGACGTCGCCCAGCGCATGCTTCTCCAGCATCTTTCATCCATCCCACACCAACCTGCACGTCTTTCAGCAGCTCATCGAACCTGCTTTGGAAAAATTGTTGAGCGTCGGTGGATCGGCATTGTGCTTTGCCTATGGTCATACAGGCAGCGGCAAGACGGTGAGATGAGGAGAGGAGAGAGATGCGCGCGCGCGCATATGCGGGGCCCTGCTCACCGCGAGCGTCCCCTCTGCTCACTCAGCACACCATCATCGGCTACGGCAAAGAGGCAGGGCTCAGTCGACTGGCAGCTCAGCGCATCCTGAGCGAGCTGCAAGCATTCAACGCTCGCGCCGGGCTCTTGCAAGACACACGCTTGGGTCTTGCCGTTCGGCTGGTGGAGCTGCGCAAGTCTACGGTGCTGGATCTCATGAACCATCGCACCGAGTGTCACGTACGACAAGGGGCGGATGGACGAATGCATGTGAGAGGTGCGACAGAGATGCTGGAGGATGGCAAGGTGCGCGTTCGACCGACGGTGGCCCGAGCGTGCTGGGACATGCGGCAGCTGGATCGCGCGTTGGAGGATGCGCTTTCGCTGCGATCAGTGGGCACTTCTCCAGTGCACAACCAATCTTCCCGTACGCACGCCGTGCTCGAATTCGAGATTGTGCATCGCCATCTCATCGCTGCCAGGGAGCTCGTCATTCAGCGCGAGTCCGAACTGGTTCCCGTGGGCAAACGCGCTACGGATGTCTACATCGAGGAGCAGATGCGTGGAATGATCATCGATGAGGATGGCAAAGGCTACAAACCCAACCCGGCGTACACCATCGATCAGGAGCGAATTGATGTGGCCGAGGCGGCGAAAGCAGAGTGCGAGGATAGACTGGATGCAGCAAAACGCGCGGCCGAGGAGCTCCTCGCGAATGCAAAGATGCGAGCGCAATCGGTCGGTGCGCCGGTAGCGGGTACCAGGCTTGTCTTTGTGGATCTAGCTGGGGCAGAATACAGCACTGGGAGCGTCGCTGCAGCACCTCAAACATCTCTTGAACGTCAGGAAGGTCGACAGATCAATACGGACCTGCTCGCCCTCAAAGAAGTCATTCGTGCAAGAGCTTCAAGGCAATCACGCATCCCATACCGCAACTCGCCCTTGACCATGGTGCTGAAGGAGCACTTTGAGCATGAGCTTGCACCTCAAGACACGTCCTTTATGATTTTGAACGTGGCGGAAGCTTCTGCGCAGCTCACAGCAACCGTCAATACGCTTCAATTTGGTAGTCTTGTTGGTCTCGTAGCAGGGTGACGACGGGGGGTACAGCGAGGCGTGGGGGGGGGGGCGCGCCTCGTCTTGTTACTGTTTGGCTTGCCGACATTGGATTTGATTTCGAGTCTGCTTTCGCGTGTGATGCGTGTCAGGGGGTGGTCAGGATCCACGCAGAGGGATTCTTCGAATCCAGAGAGGAGTAGACTGTGCATCCCAGATCGAGACCGGTGCTGCGTAGAGTCGAGAAATGTCGTCAGCCGAGCGTTAGATTGCGCCGAGATGATCCGCGCACACGCACGGGCCTCGACAAGCCACCTCTGCGAGAACGCTGTCCCCTCTAGTTTCAGGTTTGCCATTCGCGACGCTTTTGCACTCTGAACTCCAAGTTCCAAAAGCAGACTGGAGGTTGCCGGGATACTTGAAAAGCTCTGGGGAGAGGCAGTCGCAATCATCAGCTTGAGCCACGGAGCAGAGCGGGCACGATCCGCCCGTGCCCGTGCCCACGCCCGCTTTCTCACCACGCCAGCCTTCGTCGTCGGCACCTGGACAGTCGGCGGCCAGGACCAATCCAAAGGCGGAGAAGGCGGTCAAGAAGAGGAGGAGATGAGCAAGTCGCAACATGTTGGTTCGTCGTTCAAGATTCAAGATGGGCGCTTCTTATTGCAGTGAGGGGCTTTCTTGGGGGACGAACGCTGGGGTTCGTCTTATATTCACGAGAGGTCTCTGCGAAACGCGCGAGGCCCATGCTCTGCGCGACCTCTTCGGTTTCTCACCTCGCAACGACACGTAAACATCAAAATACGCTCCACGCCGACGAATGCTGTTGTGCTGTCATGCTCCATGTCAGCACCTTTCAAACGGTCAACAAGATCACTCATCTCACGACTCACGACTCTCCCGTAGTGCGCGCGTGACGAGATCCTCTCCAACGCACCAAGTCGATCCGCGGTCGCGCTTATCACGGCTCGTGTGCGCGGTACGAGCGCCCGTCCGGCTCGAGCGCACTCCGCGGACGCTGCGCGGCCTCGTCGGAAGGACCGGCGTGCGTGGTGTTTTGATCTGCGCAAAGGGTTGCTGACACGCGGCAAGTCAGCCGGCACGCCCGCGTCGCATTCGCCTTGACCCTGTTGATCCTCCGCAGCGCTTCTCGCCGTCTGTTGTGAGCGTTCATCTTACGCACCCACGGATCTGTCTGGCGCCGAGTAGAGCGAGGTGGCCTGCAAGTAGACGCGGAACCTCGCGTGCCTCGGCGCAACAACAGGCTCCCTCCCCGGCTTCGGCGCAACAACAGGCTCCCTCTTCGTCTGCTCAGCGGTCAATGCAATTCTTTGGTTCTTTGGAGACGAGGTCGATTGCACGGACACGGGACTGCGCATGGGTCGAGTCGGCTGGCTCCTTTAGGAGCGGCGTGCTTGGTCTACCCCGCTAGCGAGAGGGCAAAGTCCTCGGGACGCTCGCTCCACTTGGCGAAGACAATGGCGCTCTCCTCCAAAGTTTCAACGCACGCCTCACCATGCATTCGGGCGGGCTACGAGGACGCTAGGCTTTGTGCGACGTCCTGCACAATTCGCGCCAGCACGGAAGCAGCTCAAAAAGGGCGACATTCCATTCCATAGTCTCCCGTTTGTCTCGCCACGCCGCACCTTCAAAAGCATTCGACTCCGCACCAAAAGACCACCAGTCCAAAGCACAATCCTACGCACGCACAAGTCTGCAACATGGTACGCCTCTGCATCACCCTCCTGTGCTTAGCTCTGCTTGCTAGTCAAGCTATGACGGCCGCGACCTGCCCGGCTGCCAAAGACTCGGTACGCAGTGAGTACAAATGCGCTGCGTAAGGATTGTAAGCACGTCTGACGGACCCGCGCGCACAGTCGTCAAAAAGTATCCTGGTGACTTTTACGTGGCAAAGCAGGCTTGGATAGAGACTTGCAAGGCGCTCCCCCATGGTGCGGGCACCATCTATCCTTACTACGAAGGAACGCCCACAGAGGCAGGATGCAATACCGAGTGAGTCGCGCGACAAACGACACGACACTCGTGGGCGCGACAGTGCTGACGCGGTGCGCTCGCTACCACAGTGAGGGCGTGGATTATGGCTGTCAAGTACTTGAGAAACTAGGCCGCGGATGGGAGCTGGCGACGCCGTCCGGCAAGTCCACTGAAAAGGATGTCGCTGCACAGCACCAGCGACTAGTCCACACTGGGCCGTGAGGAGGTTTAGATGTAGTTTACGCAATCAATGTCGTGTAGAGCGAAATGAAAGTCTTTATTCCAGTTGCCTGGCTACCATTGCCCCTATTTTGACGCGCCCACGGATCTGCACGTGTTCAAGATGCGCGCACTGCCCCACGCGCCATTGCGGCACACGATCTGCATCTAGTGACTGGCTCACTTTGATTTGTGCAGCGATTGCGTGGAGAATCAATCGCCACGCTTTGCAGACATGCCATTGAGCTAGCCCAAGCGCAGCCATGACTGCAAAGATAGCTTGACCTCGCTCACCGTACGGGTCGACATTTGTGCGGAATGTTGGCGCAGAGGCGTGCGAGGTCGGCACGGTGGCTCGCGTTGACTCTCTCCGTCGCACTTGTATTTGCAGAGTATAAACCGCTCGGCGGATTGCAGATCGTGCTTTCTTGAGGCTGATACGATTGCAAGCTGTGCCTTGGCGTGATTTGGAAGAGGTAAACGGGAGTTGATGGCGGTGGGTAGACAATGGCGCAAAGGTGTTGGTAGCGCCGCTGGGGGCGCAACGTGCACAAGCAAGCTCGCTCCTCTTCGTCTCTGTCTCGCACGCTGGCGCCGTCGCGGATAGATGTGCCTCTTGGCGCTCTGGCGTGCGCTGACAGGCGGTGCTAACGCCTTGACCGGCGCCAGCCATCTGACTACTGAGCCAAATCTCGTGTGTGGTGAGTATGGAGCCTGCACATTGCTCTACAGGCTTGCCCGACGCTTTCTGCGGTACTCGTCGAGAGTAGCAGGGCAAAAGGTTAAAGGAGCGACGTCCAACAAAGTCGGTCCAATGCTTTCAACACGACTCTCAGACTCTTTCAAGCCAACCAGAACCCCACAGCATTCCTCAGGAGGACGCGTGCCCCACAGCCCGATCAGCATATTCCAAGACCGACAAAGCTTCCCCCTGTACAACAATGGCTCGCCTGTCTATCGCTCTCCTTTGTCTCGCTGTGCTTGCTGGTCAAGCGGTCGCGGCCCCGGTCGAGACGAAGCCCACATGCCCAGCCTCTGTCAGAGGCCTTCGTAGTGAGTGGGATAACTGCGAAACGTGGGACGTAAACAACGGAAGAGTTTTGCGCTGATGCGCTCGCGCTGCGCATGCAGTCGTCAAGAAATTCCCTGGAGATCACACCAAAGCGAGATTGAATTGGATACTGACCTGTCAGGGACTGGACGGCGATCAGAATACGATTGGTGCTTACTTTGAGGGAGATCAGGCTGCATGCAACAACGTTGAGTAAGTGTAGTCGTGGTGCGTCGTCGTGCAGGCCTGTGGCTGATCTCGCTTTCGTGGACAGCGCGGGCATCGATTATGGATGCACCGTCCTCGAGAAGCTAGGCAGCGGTTGGGAGCTGGCAACCCCGCCGACGGCTTACGTCGCCAAACAAACAATCGGCAGCTTTTCCTCAGGTCCGTGACGCAGAGTGGACACCGATGTCTCGACATGTACACATACTCGAATGACATATCTGCCGCGCTGCACCACATCACTCCGTTGTCGCCATTGTGTCTCAAAAGAGTCGTGAGCGTGCCGCGTGAAGAGCCTGCGCGCGACCCACGCACGCGTGACACCACGCACACGCACACATCGCGAGACGCGCGCAGCATGTGAATACCACCGTGCGCGCATCGCACTTGTAGCCATGATCAAGACGTAGGCACACGCAATTGGGCCGACGCGTACGCAGCCGTGTTTGGAGACGCTCGCGACACTGTACGGACACGTGCTCATGAATGAACGTGAGCGGGGTCGACCATAAAGCGCTTCATCGAGTCAAGACCACCGACGAGCGCAGGCTGAGCCGGGCCGAGCTGCAGATCCCGTGCAGGTCGCTACGCTCCCTGCGAAAAGGCAGACAATATATTCGGGATCCTGCCTCACTGACTTGCTATTCGATCGAATCTACGCCTCAAGTGGGTCAAGCCAAACACCAGCTAGCCGAGGTACGACCCGGTCCAAATTTTGGCGTCTGCGCTATTCCCCTTTTCACCCTTGAGCGCTCCCGCGTCTGCGCATGGGGGCGCTCCGCAAAACACCATGGCGCGGAGCTGACAACGTGTGCAAGTCGCGACTCTTAACTACATCTGTGATGATGTAGCTGCGACAAGGTACAACAATTCAATTCTTGTCAGACCCTTTCTGCTACCTCGCTCCTCCCGCAGCCTCTGGACGTGCGTATGCGCGCATCGTGGCGGATTGCTTTGAGCTGGGCAGACGTGCGAATCGTGCCTCGGCGTGTTTAGGAAGAGGTGAGCGGGAGTTGATGGCGGTTGCTAGTGGGTAGACAAGGCGACGCGCAGAGAAAACAAGATGCCTCTGCGCGCGTCCGGAAAGGTCAGCTGACTTGTCGTGGCTCCTTGCAGGAATTTGTCCCAGAGAATGCTGCTGGTGGTCTGGAGGGCTCGGTGGACGAATGGCGTTGTTGTCGGCCCGTGGTGAGCAGGCACAATGTCCCGCCGACAGAGGGCGTTGCTGACGGGCCGTGTCGAGTAGACAAGATATAAGGCTTGGCGCGTGTCGCCAGGTGAGTCGAGCTCCAGGATATGATGGTGCTGCCGTGTGCTCCATCGACGATGCCTATCGAGGACTCGAATATAAAGCGCGACATTGCGACTTTCTGCCGCCGCCCCACACCTTCCACACCCGCACCTCGTACAGCGCAACGTCACCATCATATTAACAACATACTACCATGTCTCGCATCTCCATCGCTCTCATTTGCGTTGTGCTGCTTGCTGGTCTAACGTCGGCCCAAAAAGCAGCCCGCGTTCAGGCACCAGCCTGCCCAGCAGCCAAGCACAATGCGCGCAGTGAGTGCTGTTCCGTCCGTCAACGGCGCAGCTCGATGATTGACCTGCTCCCTCTCACGCACGCAGCGGCTACCAAGTATCCCGGAACGTACGCCCAGGCGCAACAAACTTGGATTCAGCGATGCAAGGCGTTGGGCGACGGCGCCAACAGCACCGGCAAGACGATTCCTGCTTTTGCCGGAACGCCTCCACTGGTTGCATGCGTGGGCGCGTGCGTACAATCAAAGAGACGCTTCACGCCACGCCCCGCTAGCTCGCTGACGTCGCCTTGCTTTTTTTTCGCTTGCAGCGCTGGCGAGGACCTGGGGTGTGTGGTACTCAACTCGTTTGGCGGTGGATGGGAGTTGGCGACGCCGCAAGTAGGAACCTCGCCTATCGGTGTCTGATAGGGGCGAGATGAATGAGCGGAGAGTTGGTGTCTCGTTCCTCTGATTGGAGCGCTGCTCGAGCACTTGCGATGTCGCACGCCACTCTCGCGGAACCTGTTCGCACCTGCTCTAATCGCATACATCTTTGACTTGGTCGCGCGTGCTATGCTACTCTCTCGCGCCGCCAAATCTCCTCGCACCTGCTCTTGAGGTCATGACAGTACGTGGCGTTGCCCTGATCGAGCTTGCTCTGCAGACCCAGCAGGTAGTAGCCGATCCATGCGAATGGCCCAGACATGGATTCCCAGTTTGTGACCATGCACGCCGCTCCTCCCTCTTCCGGCAGCGTCGACACCGTCTGCACTCGCTCCGCAATGCCCAGCCAGCTTGGCAACAGCAGACCTTGCCAGGCTAGCGTCGACTGCGCCGTGTCGTCCTCCAGCTTCGTGATCTGTGCGCCGCGTCAGCAATGCGCAACCAAGCGGGCCGACCACCACTCACGAGTTCAGGCACCTCCATCGGCTTTCCACTGCCATCATCCCATTTCATCTTGCCTTGTGCGCCCTCTCGCAGAGCGGCGCCATCCAGCTCAAAACTCCGCATCGTGCTGTTCCACTCGGCATACTCCTCCAGCGCAGTAATCCCCCGCCAAACCACCTCTTTGGGAGCGGCAATGCGAACGCGGGTGCCGGATGTAAAGACGACCCGCGAGAGCGGCTGGTTGGGCGTCGCGGTGAGGTCTCGAAATGGCGAGGCGACAGTCATGTTGGCGCGCGGCGAGGCCGGGGGGTAAAGGTGGTTGCGAGGAGGAAGGGTGCAGCGCGGGGTGAGGCCGGGGTTAAGGTGCAGCGGGTGCAGCGCGCGGCTCGCTCCGAGGAACGTGCTTCAATCCACGCGGTGCGCATTGCATGTGGCTGTGCATGCAGCATGAGATACGCGGCAGAGGACATGACTCGTGCCATCATAGATTCATGATCGACACCACTGGTATAAGTCGAGGATTTTACGCCGTAAAGTAGTGTTTGACTGGGTGCCTCTCGCACGATAGAACCGATCGAGGCGCGTCCCTATACATATGTCCCGAGACTTTTACGACGCAAAAGCGGATGCGCAGCCAAAATCCCTGCCTAAAAGACGCGTCGGACATCCATGGAGATGGCCGGAGCTACTTTTACGCCGTAAAAGGGCACAGACAAGACAGCTGCGCGCCATATGCTCCTATACGCGCGCCATAGGAGCGCTCCATAGCAGGTGCCATACGCACGCGCCATGAGATTTTACGCCGTAAAGCCAAAAAGGTGCATCCAGCATCCACGGATCCACAGACTTTCACTTTTACGCCGTGAAACCGCACAGACAAAATGCGTGCCCATGCATTCTTTGCTGTCAGAGAGCTGGCTGTGAGATCAAAATTGATCACCCAAGCACGCACAGCAGGCTGGCAGGCACACACACATTGCAGTCAGTGGTTGAGAGAGTTGTAAAGTCATGGAGCAAAAGAGAGTTGCAAGAATGATAGTGCAAGTAGGCAAGGCTGCAGAACAGTCAAAGGATGCAGAGCATGTGTAGCAGGTGTGGAGCAAGCAAGGCAGTGGGCAAGAGTCTAGAACAGTCAAGCAACAAGCGTTGGTGGCAGGAAGATGTTTGCAGGATACTCAGGGACAGTAGATGAAGGAGTTTGAGACCAGCACAGAGGAGTTAAAGAGTCAGTCAGTAAGAGGGTTTTGTGGAATGGATTGCCCAGGGAGGAGTCAGTAAATGAGAGAGATTTGAGGACTTGAGAGTCAGCAAATAAGAGAGTGGGTAAGCAAGCAGGGGGCATCAAGTTGGTAAATGAGAGTGTGTTAGTGCAAGTAAATAAGAGAGGTGGGTGAAGAAGAAAGGGATCAGGTGATGTTAGTGGGTGTTAATGAGAGAGTGTGGCAGTTAGGGTTAGGGTTACAAGGGTGGGCCGTTTTAGGGTCGGAGATGTTTGATAGCCAGTTTGTAGAGCACATTCAGGAGTGTCTTGTGGCAGAAAAGTTTTGGATTTGCGATAGCTGCTTTTGCGTGAGGAGGCGCAAAGCGCAAGTGCGGGGTGATTTTGGCTGGTGGCGCCTCTGAAATTTGGG